ATTCCTTATGGGTATTACGAAATAATAATTGCCGAAACTAACAGCAGCCAATCAGTATGTGTGTACAAACAGTATCTAATACTGTACAACTTGATAAAAAAAACTTATGGAAAGTCGTAAACCAAAAAACAGAGCACATACCATAAGAATGACAGCATTTTGGGACTGCAAAACTAGTAGTCTTATTTCCTTACGTCATTGTATACTAAATGATTGATTGCACATTAAAAAATCTAGTTAAACATTTCTACTGCACAACAATATCAAAATTAATGAAAGCAAAACTATTTGGAAAATGAACCACTTGGCAGGATCAACAGGCCGATAAGATTACTTATAATCCTAGTTACTAAGTTCTATCACACGGAGTAGATTGATGGCATCAAGCAAGCGCCATACACGAGGATCCCACGAAATGTACAAGTCCTTAGTCCTTAACAGCTAAAACAGCGAACTCTAAAAAAGACACTACAAAATAATAGACAAGGAAATGCAGCTTCTGAAGTCATAAAACCTCTTTGAACACTGTTATAATAGTATATATTAAACTATCTATCCAGGCATAGCACTTAATTTCATTTGAGACCATCATGCTCAATCAACAACTAGAAAAGCACGAGCAGGTGTTGCATCAACATAAAACTCAAGAAAATAGACCCACAATTACAAGTCTTCAATTTAAAACATGAGTAAAAAATGTATGAAAAATAATGCCTTATAAGCATATACACGCATAAGTGCAAGTCATCTCATTTGCTCATTCATACAAGAGATATGCAATTTGAGCATGATAATATCGGATATAATGGATTTTGAGCTATAGAGAACGTCAGCAACAAATGTCAGTATGGTTCATTTGAAGATGCAGAGTTTTAGTAGTGATGTTTTCATGCAAAACAGCATAGGAATTTACATGTGCTCCTAACTGGTTGCACAAACTAAATCTGTGATGATCAGATTTTTCCCCAGAGGTCTATAATATCGGGTGTAATTGTTTAGTCTACCCCTTGCAAAGGAAAATAAATCCTCAGCTTAATTGAACAAGACTAAGATCCAATGCAACATCAACTAGTACCCTAAAGGAGAGACAAAGAATAACATATCAAAAGCAATAGTTTAATTAAGACAAATCAAGACTCAGTAAAACATCACCTTGAATTGACATTCAGTATCTCAGCATTGTCACCAGTCACAACATCCTTGAGCAAGATGAGACTTGGAGTATGAGCAACTGCTTCAAATTTCATTTTGATGTCTTGAATTCTGAAGTACTTCCATTGATCAAATTGAGGTTCATAATACATGAATGCACTTTTAGGACACTGAAACATCAACAGCCCTTTACTTTCTAGGAAATTTATGGGTGGTAGACACCGACTGGCCATCTATCATAAACAGACAAGTTAATTGAAATGAACTTTGTCCAACTTTTGGGTTCACCATGTTTCTGCATAACCCATATGTCGATGTCATCAAAGACTGGGCCGACACACAAACACAAGCTATTATTTAACACTCCCAGGCTCAGATTACGCAGATTATCCCAATCCTTCATCCGGTGCTCTAATGGAGGTGGCTGAATTGCTTTAAATTGCTCTTGGCTGAGATCAAAAGAGTATATGAAATCCAATTTCCTGTCATCTTTACGGATCCAATGAAGAGATCCTTTCAGACAGGTAGTAAATCTCAGTTCACAACCATAAGATGGAGCATGACCAATGCGTCTCCAAGATCCTGAGCCAACTGTGTGTACCTCAGCCACTCTTTTACCAAAAACTTCTTTACCTGTAATTGGGCAACTAATAAGCTCCGGACGTCCTTGATCAAACAATCTAATAACTTTATATTCGTTAGTCTTCTCACTGAAGCCAAATCCACAAGATACTATATCATTCAAGCTGTTATCAACTTCATCTATCGCTGGAAGGTTTAAATACTCGCCTGTTACTGGGTTACATATGGCAAGAGGATTGTTATATGAGGGATCTGACAAGCAAAGAATTCCATTGCATGAATTGACAATTTGGAACTTCTGCTCTTTCGTCCTCACTTTTATGGTTCTCACATTCATGCAACGCTTCTTAGAGCCACCCTTACTGCAAAGACTCAATTTGGCACCACTAGGATTCTGAGGCACCATTTCAGCATTGCGCAGCGGGATCTTCAACTTGGTCTCTAGCTTCAAATTAACCCCATCAGGAGAATAGTTATCTGAATTGTAGCTCACATTAATCTCGGACGGTTCAATTAGGTAAGCATTCTTGAAACTCTTGAGTTACCCAAAGTCCTAACCAGAGGACAAGGCTGTGCACTGGCAAAATGCATCTTAGCAAACTGAGGATCTGATATGATACGGCGCCAAGGTTTACAAACACACTTGCACATGATGATTGCCTTGAGTGGGAGTCGCAGCACAACATCTTTAAAGATAAAATCGGGTAAATCCAGTATAGAAGTACTCTTTGTCTCAGTCTCTTCATCTGCATCTCTTTCCACATGTTGGCTTCCAACTGCCTTTGAGTTTCTCTTCCTCTTCATCATTACTCTACAAGAAAGTCCAAAGCAAAAAATCGATCAACATCAACACTTAACAGGCAGCAACAAATTAGTTCAAGATATTGTGTGACAACATGAAACAGACATCTGAGGAGCAAAAACTTTAGCCACATCATCATTCAATACGAGAAATGTATAAATCTTCATTCTATAGAAGCCTTTAAAATCTGAACAATCATAAGTAAAGTCGGAAAAATCATATAAAAAGACCACAAATTATGTTTAGTTCCTTTTTTTCTTCATTGGTATTCGAAACATATTTCTTGATTTCATGCAAAAATACAGAAATCCCAATTCGAAACAAGTTAGTATCGGTCCGCAGATGTAAATTTCAAGAGTTTTCATTTACAAGAAGCCCATTAATAAAGATAATCATCTGCAAGACTATTGCTCTGCAATCACAATATCAAAAGAAAAAAGAAAAACATACATATACATTGATCAAAGTCATTTAGCCAAAAAAAACTTTCCACAAACTCCTAGATTGCAAGGAGTAAATAAATTAATTTTTTTCTGGAGATTACTGATAGTCAGATAGAGAAATGTGTACCTGAGAGAAAAGTTTGAAAATGGGAGAGAGAGAGAGAGAGATGAAGGGGCAAGCCCAAATGTATCCGGAATTGTGACTTGGCGCCAAATTGGCCTGCAGTTTACTTCAATGGCGGAAAATAGAAAGCAGAGTCGCTAGGATTTTGTACGTACTTGCTTTTGTCATTTTTGAACTTTTTGATACATTTTCAGAAAACAAAATTTAGAGTTGATCATATATGGTATTCAGAAAATTATGTTTATAAACCTGTATTTTACCTTGTAATTTTCAACTATAATCAAAATTAATCACATTCGATTTTATTCTTAAAATTTTTCCAATTCTAGATTTTTCTTTTGGACTTCTCATATTCTTTCGGAAAAAATTCTTATAATATGCCAACACATGATACCTCACAATATACTTGCACTTTTTGTAAGGTAAATGCATGTTAAAGATTGTCCCTTGGAAAATTGATGTTGATGGGAAAATTGCAAAAACCACCTATTACGGAAAGCAAAGAGGGGTTTTGAAACAAAAACAAATCCAACTTACGAGAAAAGGAAACTTTTCATGTATTCTATACTTCATGAAATTTCTGTAGGACTAATCTTTTGAGAATGGCACTAATTTCGGATCCTCAGCTCCCTTAAGGAGCTTTCTACTGGGTCTCATCCTAAAAATTTAACATCTTCAAACAAATTTATTTTTCATAAAAGGAGTAGTAATTTTTAGAATTCCAAGTCAAGTAAATCACAGATATTTGATAGTGATTTTCTGGAATTCCAAATCAACCACAAATATTCAAATAAAAAAAGGTGTAAAGAGTGACGGAAAACATCGGATGCTAAGAGGATTTAGAATAATTCTGATTATGGATTTAGGGTTTATGGATTTTTGTTTGATATGATTTCTCATTGGTTGGATCATTAATGCACTGACTGGATTTCATAATATTCAAGCGAAAAGAATAGCCAAATACGTTTCGGGCAGGATTGAATTAGAGAAATCACATGAATTGTTACATATGTCAAATTTTTAGAATGAGACTCGATAAGGGACTCCTTAAGGTGTCCGATTCCCTTAAGGTGCCGAGAATCGGATGCGTGTTTTAAGAGCCTCTCTTAGAGAGGTCTAATTGTTGCTACCATACATAATAGGTGGACAGAGTAACTTGAAAGAGAGTAAACATTTCCATGGGTTGCTGATGACTAAAACATCAAGCTTCAAATCAGTCATACATCTAAAGGAGGTGCTCGCATTGTTTTAAAATAGTTATCATGAAATTATAACTTAGCAAAAGCATGTAGATTCGCAATAACAAAGGGGAAAACAGCTTCCAAGTTCAACTGCAGGCACTAAGTTCTCAAAACATTTCAAGTTGCTTTCCCAAGTGTGCTAATCTGCAGTAGATCATTCTTGGTCGCTGTAATAAGAGGAATCTGTGTCCATCTCCAAATCCCTGAGTTCTTCTACCAAGAAGAGAGCTTTGGTTCCTCCCAGCAGCTTGGACTCATTGCACCTATATCATATCAAAGAAATCAAACCTTTGAAGCATCACTACTGGATTCTGCAAGTACTAAAATTTGTAAAGAATGTCGAAAAGAAATTTAGCCAGTGGATGGATACCACTGGATATGGTTAATGCACATAACTGCACTGAATATTAGCATCCAGGTTCATTTTACGGATGAAAAGTCCAGCATGTTTACTACTGTATATCTTGGTACAACTCTTTAAAGTAATGAACCCACTCAGCAATAATTCAATTGGAGTACATTTAGCAAACACAGACCATAAAGCTGACAGCATTTCAGCAACTCTTTTGCCATATGATCCTTTCATCTCCATGTCAATGCAGGTTTGAGCTCGACAATTAGGATCATATGGAGATGAAAGGCAGTGAATCGATGGCAATGGAGAATGCCAGTAACCAAAGTAAGCACAATTCATCAGAAGATACGAGTTTGCTGTGGTATTCATGATCTCATCATGCAAGTAACAGAGGAAGTTAAGTTCTCAACATGGCAGAAAAGACTTGGTGTGTGACAATTAATTTTTTACCCAAAAATATGCAATATAAGGTAGAACTTATATGTCTATCGCTTGCAAAGGTCAAAGCATTCTCAGTTTCATCAGACATAACGAATTTTCAATACCTAATAACTAGTACAGTATGAAGCAGACAAAATGCAGGAATAGCAAAAAAGAGTAATTTATTTAAACACCATAAGATGTAGTAAACCATCATCCGGAATTGATATTCAGTATCTCAGCATTATCTCCCATCACTACATCCTTGAACGAGATGAAACTTGGGGTATGAGCAACTACTTCAAATTCAGTTTTGATGTTAGTACAGGAATGCACTTTTAGGGTTCCGAAACATCAACAACCCTTTACTTTCCAAGAAATTTATGGGCTGTTGCACACCAACAGGCCACCTATCATCAAAAGACAACTGAATGGAAATGAATTTTTCCAAGTTTTGGGTTTTCCGCATAATCCATATGTGGATTTTATCATGGACTGAGCCAACACACAAACACAAGCTACTTCTTAAGACGCCCATGCTCATATTATGCAGACTATCCCAACCCTTCATGCCATTCTTTAAAGAAGATGGCTTAATGCTTCTAAATTGCTCTTGGCCAAGGTCAAAAGAGTACATGAAGTCGAACTTCCAGTCATCTACACATATCCAATGAAGAGATCCATTTAGATAAGAAGGAAATTTTAGTTCACAGCTATAAGGTGGAGCATGACCAATGTGTCTCCAAGATCCTGAGCCAAGTGTATGTACCTCAGCCACTCTTTCATCTAAGATTTCTTTACCAGTAATCGGGCAACTACAAAAATCCAGATTTCCTTGACCAAACATTCTAATAACTTTACATTCGTTAGTCTCCTCACTGAAGCCAAACCACAAGATACTATATCTTTCGGGCTGTTATCAACTTCATCTATCTTTGGAAGGTTTAAATACTCCCCTGTTACTGGATTACACACAAGGGATTGTTACATGAGGGATCCGACAAGCAAAGAAACCCATTGCATGAATTAACAATCTGAAACTTCTGCTCTTTCGTCCTCGCTTTAATGGTTCTCACATTCATGCAACGCTTCTTAGAGCCACCCTTACTGCTAAGACTCAAGTTGGCATCACTAGGATTCTGAGGCACCATTTGAGCATTACGCAGCGGGATCTTCAACCTGGTATCCAGCTTCAAGTTGACCCCATCAGGAGAATAGTAATCTGAATTGTAGCTCAGATTAACCTCAGATGGTCAATTAGGTAAAGCATTCTGGAAACTCGTGAGTTACCCAAAGTCCAAACCAGAGGACAAGGCTGTGCACGAGAGTAATGCATCTGGGGATCTGATATGATGCGGCGCTAAGGTTTACAAGCACACTTGCACATGATGATCGCCTTAATTGGCAGCTACAGCACAACATTCGTGAAGATAAAATCAGGTAAATCCAGTATGGAAGTACTCGTTATCTCAATCTCTCCATCTGCTTCTCTTTCCCCATTTTGGGTTCTAACTGCATTCGAGTTTCTCTTCCTCTTCATCACTACTCAACAAACACATAACAAGAAGTAACTAATTAGTTCTTGATACTCTTTGACAACATACAACAAATACCAGTGGCTTTTCACCCAAATCATCATGTAATAGCAGCAATAGATATATCTTCAGACTTACCCAGAAAGAAAATGTATAAATCTTCAGTTCATAGAAGTCTTTCAACAATCAGTATAAAAAGATCAATCAACTTATCTTTAGTTCCCTGTTTGATTGTTTTATTTGTTTTCATTCCATGGCCTTTTTATTGGTATTCAAACATACAATTTCGTTTCATGTATAATGCAGAAATCCCAATTTGAAACAAGTCACCATCTGCAAAGTTGCAAGCATTTTCATTCACAATAAACCCATTAACCAAGATAATCATCCGCAAAACCATTGTTCGGCAATCAAAAGATCACCAAAATGAAACACATAGACATTTGGCCCCAAAAAAAGGATAATCAACCGCAAAACCATGAACTCTTAGAATTCAAGGAAGAAATGAACTCAATCTGGAGATTACACAGAGAAATATAGAGATATGGTATTCACCTGAGGAAAAACTTGGATGAGCGAAGAAATATGATCACTGATGTAGCGAACGAGAGAGATGAAAAGGCTAGCCTAAGTGTGAGACGAGAATTGAGACTTGGCGCCAAGTTGGTCTATCCGTTATACTCTAGAATTTGGAAGGCAGAATCACGTAGGCTTTTGTATTTATTTTTCTATTTTGTTTTTCTTCCGATTTTGGACTTTTAGCTAAAATTTCCAGGGAATAAAATTTAATATTTCTCATAGGATCAGAAAAATGTAGTAAATAAACATGCGTTTTTATGCTTTTAAAATATCCCAAAATTATTCACGTTTGTTTTCATTTAGTTACTCCATCCCAATTTGTTTGTCATGTTTCAATATTACAACTTTTTAAGAATATTTTGATTGTGATATTTGTATTTCTCTTTTAAATTTTATTCTAACAAATTTAAAATTTAAATTTAAATGATAATATGAATATGATTAAATAAAAAGACTATATTAGAAGAAAAGACAAAAAGGGAAATCTCAAAAACATGATAAACATTTTAAATTTTTTATTTTTTAACATGACAAACATTTTAAAATATCAAAAAATGAAAAGTCTGACAATTTTAAGTTTCAATAGGACAGAAGAAGTATAATTATGCTAACTCTAAATTTTGCTTTTGGACTTTGTAACTGTACTTCAGGGAAAATAATTTCTCATATGCATATGTGTAATGTGCCATCATATTGTTCACATCACATTCTGTATTAATTTTTTTTCCACGATAAAAGTTTTAGGATGGATGTTGAGTATGATATCACCAAAGTGAAAAAAATATATTTCGATGCAAAAAAAAACAGTAGGATTTTTTTTTTTTTTTTTTTTTTTGGGAAGGGGGGTGGGTGGGAGGGATTTTGAATATTTTGTTCTTTTTACACTCAGAATTAATCGTACCAAATTTATACTACCATAAAACTAGACAAGCAACATCAAGAAAAAAATAAGGGATGTAAGCGAGAGATCCCAAAAAAAAAAATTCTAGAGAACAACAGAAAATTCATAAAAATTCCATTTTATTTGACATTTTGCTTTTTAAGTCTGTTGTATTTTATATTGTTTAAAGAATTAAGCTAGTATGTTTGTCAAGAACAAATGGCAAAATGTAAACGACTATGTTATGCATAGTGCCAAAAAGCCATAAACCCTTGCATTCACAATCTAATCCAAATGAACCCTCACAAAACTTTAAAAGCACAAAAGACAAACATATTTTCTTTCTTTGACCACTCATCAGTCAGCAAAGCACAGTTTTAATTAAGATATTCCAGTTCATCTGGATGGAAGAATTTAAGTCATTGCATGGATCTTTCTGACTTCTAAACAGAGATGTTAAAAAAAAAAAAAAAAAAATATACGCATGGAAATGTTCTGAAAGCAAGAACTTGTTCCAATTTAGACAGGAATACCACCAGAATATATATATAGTAGCCTTATTCACTTGTTACTTCCACCAAGCATGTATTTGCAGCATCAGCATGCTGGCACCAAAAGCGATTCCAAGGAGCAAAGGTACCTAAACTAGAGATACATTACAACATAGGCTGTGCTAATAAGTCATGCCAGAGCTCCATATGGCTGAGATAACAAGTCATGCCCTGTCTATGCCTAAGAGCTAACTACTATCCCCACAAGTTTCACAAGGTTATATAAATGCAGAAATCGACTGCATAGCATGTATCAAGATCAAGTTCCACAAAATTTCAGAAGATCTGCTCTTCAAAAGTGCCATGATGTTAGCTTTATGATATTCTCATATATTGTTTTGAGCAGTTTAATCTGCCACTCTCAAGATGCGATAATAGCGATTTGCCATGCATATCAGTTGAGTTATTGCTGAGATGCTTTTTTAGATTGTGCAGCTAAGCTTCTAGTTGCTAGATTTACTTGCATCCGTGAGAGTTTCACTTCTGAGATTCTCCTCCTCATCCTTTGATTCTTCATCATCCTTTGCCAAAACATCGATTTCGGTTTTGATGTGAAGAATATCCAGAGCAGATCTTGCTGCTGACTTCCTACCACGTTTTCGGCCTCGAGTTCGGGATCTAAAAGCAGAAATTCCTAGGCTGTTATGAAACCCTTGGCAATTTATTTCATTGCAATCATACACAAATTATCAAAATGCCGTGAATGCATCACAAAATTCCAGAACTCAATAATTAATAGACACATTTTATCTGAAGAAACAGAATCATCTTAGTTTTATCTTGTTATTGTGTTCGCTTTCTTCTTCTGTGAATCAATGATGTTCATCGGCCAAAGCAAACAATAACCTCAGATGAGAAAAGAAATAAAAGCATTGACAAAATAAAAGAAACATACAATTCTAATTTGGATTAAGTGGTTATACTCCCAATGCCTGCTCTAATTTAAAGTACATCACCATGTTAGAGTAGAGGAAATGCCTGTTATTATAGTCAAAAGTAGAGCAATGTCGCAGAGTTAAAGAGTCCAGTAAACAAACATAAAATACCAAAAATAATGACAAGATATGAAGCATTACATGAAACGTCTTCCATAGAAAAGAGTTTGATATAGCATGGTTTTGTAGGATTTTTGTCTTTTTTTTTTTACAGTTAATATTAGGGTTGTTTCGATTACAATAGCTCCCTTTTCCTCGTTTTCGGCCAACTTTTATTGATTATTCAATTTGAAACAATTAGACATAAGAAAACACTAACCAGTTAAGTCATTAAATGAGCAAGAAGACGATCATCTAGCACCAATAACAAGCAACCCAGCAAAAGGAAATTCATGTACAGAAGTTCCCAATCAATGTCATGGCTACATGAACAGCAAATGACTACCATCAACTTTTCTCACGTTGAACATGAGCATAAAACTTATCATGCAGATCCAGATATGGGCAAGCAGAGTACAACCTCAAAAAGTGCCTCATTTACTACTTGAGAAAACTTGTGGATTAAGTTAAAAGAGAGATTTTCAACAGAAAGAAGTTTTAAAGATCTAAAGGAATACACACAGCCTTCTCAAATAGTGCTTACCGAACAGCAGCAGCATCAGAACTTGTAAGGCTGCCCTTTTTCTCCTGATAATATCACATCCCATCAACATTTGAGGAGGGGGGGGGGGTTGGGGGAAATGGGGGTGGGACAGAAAACTAAAAATGTACAATGAAGAGTAGCATAAAATCAGGTAACTGACTTGGTCATCAAGCAGAAACCAACGTTCTTTTTTCAGATTCAAAATCTCCTGATCACCATCAACATATAAAACCTGAAACACAGGTGAGAGCAAATGAGCATGTGATGGCTCACAAGACAAACAACCATTTATCAGCACATTCTTGATCACCACAAAATGTTAAACCAGTGAGATACAGCAGCTCTCCTGGAATGTATTATGGAGCAAAAATTTTTATATAGCCACTTAAATATATTAAAGTAATTAAGACTATTATGTATCAAAGGGAGAAATACAGTAGCAAATGGATCTACCACAAAAGGTCATATTCATAAAGGATAAAAGGGAATGTTTACAAGTGCTCTTCTCTTATTATAAGTTTGTGATAAAGATCACAGCCTAAAAGCACAACATGGAGGTATAATATACAGGATGAAGCAAACCAAGGGTGCAGGAGGATTTGGAGAGTTGGATGATAGCAATAGTAAATAAATAGGCCATCTTTGCAAAAATTATCACCTATGTTTCTTCTTTGAAGGATCAAAAGAAGCAATAACGCCTTCATAAAACCTGCACAAAAGAAAATGAATAAGATAAAATGTCATTCCATTTCTTTCCTAACACTGAAGATGGCATAAATGGCTCAAGTTTGGCCGATGTAATACGTGAAGTTTGATGAATTATCTCAATCCCAGTGGTAGAATTTTCATTTGGAATTTATGGAAGAACCAGTTTACCATTTCAACAATAACACTACCTGTGCTAATCATAAAATTAAGTTCATTGTCAATTCGGCAAAATCTGGACCAAGGTGTCTTGCCACCAAGGAGTCTGTACATACAATACATTCATGATCATGTATTCGTTGAACATATCAACTTTCAAAGTCAAAAGGACATACTTATCCCTAGAGGAAAAATAAAATCTCATTCAGACCCAAGTATTACTCACCGATAGGTTGATTTCTCCAGAGAAGGTTCGAATTTGTTTCCTTTTCTGCTAATTCAAATCAACAAAGCTATTACCGATCCATCTTTAATCTGCCTACACTCAAACTATATGCCCTTTTCAATCAACTTCAAACTTCCAAGCTTTAATGGTAATCAAGTACATTATCCAACAGGAAAGCTTCAGTACTGACCTCACTTTGTCATGCTTAGATCTAACAGACTGAAGATTCTTTTACAATGGCATGCATTCCTATCAATCAGCTTCGTACAAATGGAAATAACAGAAAATTGCCCGAGTTGATTCAAATACAAAGTTACTAAATATACACACACACATGCACAGACGTGCGCGCGCGCGAGATGCTGTACATATTACAGCATAGTCAAGATTTTTACCAAACCACATTGACACCGAAGTTGCCAGAAAAACTCCCAACCAGTAAAACTCGTATATCAACAGAACAAATCAACAAGGCAACGTCATTCCATCACATATTCCAAGATCAGAAAAGGCTTATTCAAGAATGAAAGTATTGGCTTGATGCAGCAAACGGAAATTTTAAGGGCACTACTCATAATCCGGTATCAAATTCCTTTTACTAAAACGATTAGAGGATTCAGGCAGCAATTGCCCAGCTGTGGAGAGGAAAAATACAGAGAAATGCTCGGTCAAGGAAAGGTTTGCTGGAACTCTGAAAAGATTCACTGTGGCAGTTAATAAGGTTCCTAGTTTTTTCAGTTTGGGATTATGCAGAGTTGTTGGAAACCCGTGGTCTTGTCTGATTGCAGGCAATAGTAGTAAAATGGACCCTAGCTTAGCTGAACGAACTTCATAAATTATGCTTTTGAAGCCAAAACATCCTTTTTGGAGAATTTTGTACTTTCCAGCTAAGTTAGTTTCCACTGATGGTGTTTAACTGATAAGGCAGGACTTAAAATGGTGTCGTCCAACAGAAAATAAAAACAGGGAGACTTTAAATTGAGCAAAAAGGCATCGAGAATTGGGGTTGATGTAGTTTAGGTGGAAGGACATGTCAAAATGAAGCCCAAAAAAATCATATTAAAGCTTTGCTGAGGATGGAAAAAAAGCCAGATCAAAATAGCTTCAAATATCTAACAAGTAACATCCAGATCAACAAACACGGCTTAGAAGATTCTCCCATTACTCTAAGTATTTCAAAGAAGCAGAACAACTTAGCCTAAAGTCAAAATGACAGTAACATTAAGATTTAAGATTTAAGAAGTCTATATGGAGGATGGATACAAAGTCTAGAGAATTATCAACATTTAAGTTACTTACTGACTGTCCATGGGCCACCAGACCTTTATCCTTGAACCAACTAATTCTTCACCATACTCTTTGGCAATTCTAGGTTTCTTGGATACCTAATTGGTTAAAGAAATATTTACAGGAACATCAGAAATAAGATACAAAAACCACCACAGATTATATGGGGGGAAAAATGCATTAGAACAAGGCATATGAGACAGAAACAAGATTTAGCAATCACTGCTGAGACACATTAGAGAAACCAGGAGTGCTTGCTGAAGATCTCAACAGAGGCCAAGCATGATTCTATTGATCTACATTCTCTAGTAGAAAGCTTTAGACTGAAGCTACAAGAATGCTTCTCCCTTTACTTGGAAAATCAAATTTTTACTCCCTCCACAAATTGAACATCCTACTTTCCTATTTGGGTGGTGAAAAAGCTTTGTCCACTTTGCTTATATGGAAGGTTTTAATCATCATAGGTAGTAATGCATCCAAACATCACTTATACAAACAAAGTTCCTCCACTTGACTTATTGATGAACAAACACAATACCTCAGATTTTAGAGCTTTTTTGTCTTCTGCTCCTTTTCTTCCATCCTTTAACTTATATAATAAGTGGTTGTTCTTCTGAATCACTATGGATGTCTTTTTCCGTCTTAATAACTACATTCTTTACACAGCAGTTCTCTCCATATTATTCTTAACAGCGGATTTCTTCCTCCTTGAATATCTCACAGGGTTTTCTTCAGCATGTTTTGTTCTGGAAGATCCTATTCTTAAGTGACCATCAAGCCCTGAAAGACCATCAAGATCACTATCATGATTAGCCATGTTCCCTTTCTTCTTTGACCTACCCCTTCTCTGAAGACTTTTACCTACATCACTTGGATCTGGGAAATGGGAGGAGGTGTGCTGTTAAAGCGTGCTGTTCTAGGTTGAAAATAACTTGGTTCGCTCTCCTTCTCTGGTTCTAGATGAAAAGATGACTCTTCTGCAGACAAACTATGTGGCAAGCTACTGACTTTTCCATGATTCTTCCTCTTATAAGGCATTTCAAGAGAATTTGGGCTGCCAGTCATCCCAGAATGTTCATAATCTTTCTCTCGTTCTACCAGAGATTTAGATTCTCTTCCCATGCTACTTGGTACTATTCCAACACCTGCTTCTTGCTTGAATTTCTCCTCCACTTTCTAAAGTTTCAGCGGCAACAGATTCTTTAGCCATGCTCTTCGTCTGCTCAATTTCATCCTTTGATCTGCTGTCATCATCATCAATCTGTAGAGATGTGCCATCATGCAGCAGTGAACCACAAAGCTCAGCCTCTGCTGGCACAAAAAATGCATATGCTTCTGCTTCCACCATCACCTGATTAATTCAAAATAAATAAATCAAAGCCAATCTCATATCTTTATTTCAACTACTCCAACAGCAGAAAGAAGAACGATAAACCAGAAACAAACACAATGGACTCCGTACCATCTACACTAGAGCGACCAGAAATTAGCAGGGGAATACCAACCATTTGATATGCCTGGTCTGCTAATTTTGCTTACAAGAACCTTTTTCTCATCTTTAGGAAAAAGTCAACTTCGCAAATAAATTTAAAGAACTCCAAACTTAAAGACTAAAAACTTCCTGATGCATGAGAGACAACAGATTCAGTCTCACATCTGGGACACATAGCATAATTTGAATGAACAACCACTGACAGCATAAGTTACTCCTTAAAGTTGATTAACTTACTGAATGACTTCAAATTTTGCTATTAGTTAAGGGAAGATGAGTGTTAGTATATTTTCTAATGTCTCGTTATAACAAAGTGAAGGAGAACAAACAAGAAATTTTAGGAAGTCCAAACATATCTCCATCATCACAAATACAATGAGCAACGAAAAACTATATGAGAAGCAAGCATGAACATTTGGAGATGAGCACAGATCATAACTACATCTGCCTTTTGCCAAAAAAGAAGTCAGTTGAAGGATAGAAGATATCGCACCACATTGTCCCCAGCTGGCATATCTCGGCATAACGAAGCAACTATATCGGCATAATCATTAATATCTAGCCTCATTAACTTCACTGCATTCATAAGATAAGGTCTGACTTTAGTTGAGCAGTTCTTTAATACTTTCTCTCCTAACCAAGAGGAAACGGGTGAAGTAATCTGAGGCAAACAATAAAGGTAACTGAGTAATAATAAAACAAGAACAAGAATAAATGAAACAGAGATCTATATAAGGAAGGGTACCTGGTTTTCCTTTTTCACACTAGCTAGAAGCGGCTTTAAAAGACCCAATGGGATGTCATCACTCTCATCTAAAAGCCAAGTCATAATGTCTTCCATGTATGAGAATACAGCTTGCGGGTGGTTGAACCTTGTATTAGACATTCAAACACAACAACAATCAGCACATCACAATTGAATGTGTTGACTTGCATGAGACAGGTGCAAGATTAGCAAATGAATACCTCTAATTTGTTTAATTTGGTACAACTTTCTAAATTACTCCGTTATGCAAGTTGCATTGCAAACCATGAGTTGATCACTCGACAACAAGTAATAAAGGTTTGCCATGAATCCAGCAAATTTTCAATTTCATTGCTGCTAAATGAGGAGTTCACGAAGTTGAAAGCAGATCATATTTGCAGGAAAATGGGAATGCTATTACAAGTTCGAATTCTATAATTGTTAGTATTAGAGTTAATTTAAAGAAGCTAACAAATATCAATTACTACAAGATCCAAAGAGAAAAGGCAGTTAATCAAAATGTCTTGACAATAAAAATACATTTAAAGATTAGCTGTAACATCTTAGCCTTACTTAATGGTACTTAGAAGGACTTCAAAGATTTTAGTGACCAATGAGTCGCAGCCTATGTCCAGCAAGATGATGCAGCATCTGACCTTTGCAACGATTTCAAGAATGTGCAAAGCTTTAGCATAACAGCGACCAGAGAAAAGCGACAACTTCTCAAATGCAGCTAAAGTCAACCGAAAAATATCCTGTACAGCATGCAAATGAAAAGGCTGAGAACTGGCTCTAAACAAGTATACAATAGGAAGCAGACAAACAAATACAGAAAAGAGTAGATATTGTTGTAGGTGTTCAGCTTACCTTCATTCTTTCATTCTCATAAGGTTGATGCGGAGCACTTATCCTTAACACCTCACAGATGCAAGACATAACTGAAATCCTGACATCTGTATTAGGATGTCTAAGCAGCCTATCAGAGATCAAAGCCATCATCGAAGGCAAGAGCCCATCTTGAATCAAACTGGAAGGATCTTGACCCACAATGGATAAAAGGTCCTCTACTTTCTAAACAACAGAATGAAAAAGAGGATGATGGTTAATTTACACTATGAGAGGTGGAACGCAAAATCATATGTAGAAGTAAGCCGACAAATTTGAACAAATAACAAATTCATCAAGGAAAAAGGACAGCCTCATTCACAATATTTATCAGGCAGAAGTAAGCCATCAAACAATCATGAACCTACGACTGAGAAATAAAGATCACGAAAATCAACAAAAATGCGATAAATATTTTGCCTTATTCAAAATGATTATGAAACAATAATGTACTAGGAACAACTCTTAGTGCCTCGTGCGTGCTTGGTGCTAGCCTATTTCTTACCAACTGGTAAACGTATGCAATTATTTTTTGTGGTTTACAAAATCAAACCCAATATTAGGGAAAGAATTCACATTTTTCCAGCAAATTCATGACCAAATAAATAAAGCGCCAATTTACAATCTCAACCACCCAAAACCAAAGAACTAAATCAACAAAAACGCTCAAGAAATAACCTTTTAGCACGAATTATAGGACCCCAATAAGACCAAATCAAAAACATTTTTACACGATTTCTCACATGCATGCAAAATAGCTAAAACAAAATTATAAATCAAGCCAACATCAAAAGAATGCAGAAAATGTAGCATAAAAGAAATGATCTTTACATCGAGGGCAGCAAGAAGATCATCGGCAGAAGAAGATGGCACCAGAAGCTTCACCCCAGCTTCAATCAGCTGGCTTTGAAGTTGAAGCTCCTTCACCGAATCCAAAACACCCAAACCGTTAACATCCATTGCCCAACTTAAATCCCCACAGAGCCACGAGGCAAAATTACCCCAACCCAAGAAATGCTGGCAACCTAGCTCCTAATTCCCAAAACCCACCTCCAAAATCTTATATTTTTGCCAACCCAACTCGAATTTGGCCCTTAATTCGTCGACCCTGCACCAAAATTTCTCCCCAAGAGTTGAAAATTGAAGAAATCAAGGAGATTTTATCAATAAGCCTAGGAACTTCCGTCGTCGGATGAAAGGAAAAGGCAGGTTTTTGTGGGCTGACGCAGTGATGAGTGCAGAACTAGTTAACTAAGAGTACAGAATAAGCTGCATTTTTTAAAATTATGGCCATGAATGGGTAATCTCAGACATAGCCGTTACAGGTACTAGGACATCTGCAAGAAGAAATGGCTTTGCATGCAGAGGAATTTTCGAATTCTGATGGAATTTCTCGCGGATTCTGGGTGGTATATGCATTTTAGCTAAATTTTGAGTTTGAAATCCGGTGTTTGTTCGTACAATTTGGTGGGATTTTTCACTTTTAAGTGGGAAGTCAGCTGACTGAAGTGGGATTGTGGGAAGTGAAGTGACTTGACAAGAGCAGATCTTGAAGGGATGTAATGATATGTGAGTACAAAATTTGACTTCATAATTTTCTTAGGCTCTATTTTGTCTTTAGTTGGCCCTTCCTAATGTCGATTATTGTTTTTTACCCTCAAAATTGATTACCAAGTCCAAACACGTATAATGCACGTATTGCCCTCAAAAAAAAAAAAACACGTATAATGCACGGGGAGTTTATAAACAAAATCTATTTACTTATAATGAGAGATGAATCAACTTTTTCATGCTTATATTAGTCAAAATAAGTCCACTTTGAACTCACCAATTCATTTCATTTTATAGCATAATGCCCTTCTCAAGGGTTTCTTTTCCTGAATTGCAATTTGCTCAAAATTGATTTGGCTTCGAGCATCAACACAGGTGGATCATAAGTCATTTAAAACTTACAAGTCGTTCAACAGCACAGTGCTAATGTTGATAATGGAATTTAAACACATCTGTTTTTGTAAAAAAAAAAAAAAAAATTGGCCGTCCTTACCAATTGAACTAACTCGTGTTAGCTGTTCAAAATTTTTCATTATGCTTTAATGAAGTTGAAGTTGATTTAGATCTCCTTTCACTGTTAAGTTCAAAATTCGAATCCTGATAATTGGGAGTGAGAAGGGTGTGAAAAGATATAAGAGGTTAAAAAAAAAAGTTGGAAATTAGTTGACACTTGAGTCCTTATTGGCTGCCATAATGGTTATATTGGGCATTTGCTGAAAGTTAATTATGGAATGCCACATAAACAGTGTATACATTAAGAAAATGGTTGTCTTTTTTTTTTCTTAGTTGGGAAAATGGTTGTCGTTTTGGATACTTAAAAAATTTTGCGTTGTGCTAAATCAAATGCAAAATGTGATTTTTGCTATGACAAGCGAACAACATACGGGCAATGAATTTACCGAGGTAGCAATAGTTAATGAAAGACAAATCATATGTCACCTTGCCAAAACCACATTTGACACGTCATTCGACTAAGTTTCATTTTCACCATGTAAATCTAATGGCGTATCTTTAGTGAATATAAATCTCAGATCCAAAGATGAAGCTTTGTCTGTCCTCCGCCATATGTTGAATATGTAGTTATGTGGTAGAAGAGAACAAGAAAAGAGGGTACGAAACAGTTCCAAGTAGCCTTACTTTGTGCAGCTTTTTCCAAATACTCCTGTTTATATAAGTATGGTATAGGTTTAATTAGGAAGAATAGAGCTTAAGTAAGATTTGTCTTAATTTTACATTATGCCAAAAATGCCTTTTCTTCCTAATAATTAGATTTATTATGTTCTAATAATAGTCAATAATGGTATCACTTATGAAGGCCAAAAACTAAAAACTTAATTGACGTTGAACTATGAAGACAATAAACAAAGCAACACTTTTTATTTCGATCTAAATTTCTTGATTAATTACAGCCTAATTCAATTTCTAAATCGTCATAAATGTTACTCTTGGTACAAAAATAGGGTGCTCTTAGGATAATGGAGTCTTTGTCATTTGTGCTTTGTATCAAATTCTATCCACAAAAAAAAATAAAAGAAAAGGAAAGGAAAGGAAAAAGAAAAACTCAATTATTCTGGAGAAATGAAATTTCAATTGTAAAAATGAACAGTCATACATAAAATCTTTGTATCTGGTTGATCATTTACACTCCATTAATAACAAAAATATCATACAAAAGAATGCAAAAGAGTTCAATTTTAAAGAATGTGCGTACATCCCTTCATTTTTCAAAAACAATGCATATCACTTCATATTGAAAAATTACATCAAAGTACTAACATATTCAACTTGCAAACCATAAAAAATAATAATGGTAGAGCAAACAAACATTATTTGTCCAAACAATTATCTTTTGCTTAGCAAGCTAGAAAAAAAAGTCCACAATAAATTCAGAGAAATTCTCTAGAGAAAATTTAACAAATGGGTGATACCTCCAGTTAATTTAAAATAAAGTTTTAAAGATAATTGGTCAAAAAAGATGAAAAATATGCACATATTAAATTATGATGTTAACAATAAAATTTTGCCAAAAAATTAGTGTATAAGAAATATCATATATCATGATACTGTGATCACATGCAAATCACGTGAACTATTACCAATCTATATAAAGGAAGATAAAATTGAAGGGATAGTGGTTAAATGGTGTGTGTGTGTGTGTATATATATATATATATATATATTTTTTTTTTTGGCTGACGGGGTGGGTGTCCGGGTCAATCTTTACGGGACCCGACTAATCCCACTCCAACCTGAGAGGAGAGGCCCTTCCCCCGAACACGGTAATCCTGAGACTCGATCCCTGGTGGGAGAGTTGGACAACGACTTCCAAGGGGTTGTCGTGACCAAACGAGCTGCCCAGGAGTAACAGTTAAATGGTTTATATAGTAGGCGCCAATGCCACCAGCACTATTAAGGCACCATTATACATGTTTGAGATAAACAAAGATTCCATTACTAAAACACGGTTATGTGCAAGACCTATTCTAGGTGTTATTAGTTTTAGTACATCATAACTTGCATGCCCAAAATATTAAGCCGGAGGGGATGCTAAGTAGACAGGTCGTTTATTTAAGGATCTGCCAATAGTACATGTCCTGACAATCCCGCGTTCCATGATCAAGTTTGTTTGCATGTGGAGGTCTACATATGTATTTCACAATAACCCAAGAATCAGACTGAATAATTAGAGGTGAGATATTAGTTCAATCCAATTGCAAGTCCTACATTAAGTGCGCATAATTTTTCGTTAAAAGAAGAAAAAAGTGCACGTAATTCTGCCGTTTGATTGCTGTGCCCTATGGTCATTTTAGTTCCAGCAATAACAATTCCTTCAGGACCTCTAATTACTCCTCTAATTTCAGGCTACGTTTGGATTCAAGGATTTGAAGAAAGATACTCTCAAATCCCTCTAATTGTTTAAATTATTCAGAAGGTATTTGAATTTGTAAATCGCCGGTTATTGTCATTTTAAAATATATTTTGATAATTGGTAAATTACAAATCTAAATGCATCTAAAGTTACCCAAATAACTAGAGCGATTTGAGTGGATTTCAAATCTTTCGTCAAATTCTCCAATCCAAATGTGCATAATTTGATGCACTTACGATGTAGAGATGAGCAAAGGATATATTACGTTTGCTTTGAAAGCATTTTAGTGGGACGAAACGAAATTTGAGAGAACCATGCCCATTACCTAGCTATTTTTCAAAAAAGAAAATCAAGTTCCATTTACCATCAACTTTTACATAGCTGAGTTTGTCTTAATTGGGTTGGATCAATCTATAGTAAATAGTGAACTGAAAATCAGAGCAATAACTTTTAACAACTCCATTTTTTGGAATCCATCCAAGAATTTGGCTCATTTTGACTATATAATCAAGATTGCAACAAGATTTGGGAAGAACCAAAGCATTCTCAGAATCATATGGTGGAATGATCAAAATGCTACATTCCACTCTGAAGACAATCAAGCTCAGTAGATTGTTTTCGATACAAATTTATCGTGCATATCTTGTGCATGTAGCAATAACTGTGAATTAATTGTCTTTAATAAAACAAACTCTATCGAAGTCTGACTTGATGATTTAAAGGCAGGCAGCAATATTTCCATCTAAAGATTGAAATCAAAACATAGAAGGGTAATTTAGAGGATGATAGGTCAGTTCACTATGTTAGGGATGCTTTTGAAATTGATCATATATAGTAATGAAGAATAGTATTGAAAAAGAAGTCATTCAGAATTAAAGAAAAGAATGATGTCAAAAAAGGTAAATAAAATTAAATACAAGAACAGTCAAAGGGAGAGAAGCTTCCTATGTTATCTAAATAATAAAGATGCCGGGACAATACAAATGCAGTTTATATGTTTATGAGCATGCATTTGAGTGATTTTGTGATTTAACATTTGGATTATTTAGTATTGAAAAAGATTTAAAGCAATTTGGCTCTTGAAATGTACTTTAAATTAAGTTTATGTTTTTTTTTTTTGGATCGACAGTTAACATCTCAGCCATTTTCCCCTCGAATCTATTCTTCCTGGATTAGATTTTAGCTTTGTGTGGAAATTTTGATTATACATTAGAAATGGAGTGAAATCAATTTTTCTTATCTTAAAATTTATATGCCCTAAATGCCTGTGCGCAAATAGAGTATTGGTCGATTGTTTGGCAAGTTAAAGCAAAATATTTTTCAACTAATCTACCAACCTTAATTTGCAATAATTAATGTCTTGCCTGTTTCTCAATTAGTATAATTAGCTGAGAGAAATCTGCAGAGAAGCGCTTCCTTGTTTGGATTGAGGTTTTTTCTAGGAAAAATTTTACATTTTTTGTGATCACAATTTCCAATCACCTTTACCTCATATACATGAAATCGTTACAACAAATTTTTCTATAAAACTTTAAAACATAGCAATCCAAACACAAACATGCATGTATGTTATTTAGTTATTATGAAGTGGATACTTCTAAAACAGTTGACAATTTGATAGATCTAACCATAGAAGTCTTCATTGTAAAACACTTTTAAGTGCTTCCAATTCCGAGAAAATATGCTTCCAATTGTAGACCACCAGCAATATAATGGAAGAAAGTCACCATCAAGTGAGCGCGATTTTGGATGTGTATGTTATCTATATCATGCAAACTCCATTAGTAAACTCCACGAGTTTAATAAATTATAGTTAGTGTGAAATAGTTAGTGCTCCTTCTTAGTATATTTTTATACTTTTATTTATAATAAACCAGTCATTTTTCTCTTCAAATTATTCTTCCTAGATTCGATGTTAACTATTTTGAAGAACATGATTATTCATGAAAAACATAATAAGGTCATATTTTCTTACATTCACTTTCTTTTGAAAAGATATAGGTTGATTGTTCGGCAAATTTATGCATAACAATTTTCACGCATCATACTAACCTTTTCTAATCATGGCTTCGCATGGATTAGGTATTTTTTAGGGTGCTTATTTAAAAATTTTATTGTAACAGTGTTTGTAA